TTTGAATGTGTTAGGGTCATTATTTATTAAGCCAAATAATAAAGTGATCTGAATAAATTAAAGTTTTGACTAAACGCATATGTCATGAAAATATAATTGTGTAGAGACCATAGAGTAATTTCTAATTTGATGAGGGGCCAAATTGAAAATACTAAAACTTAAGTAATTAACCTAATTTTGGTTATTTAAAGGGTCATGGTCCCCTTCTAAGAGCACGTAGACAGAACGTAGTTAAAGTCTCGTTCCTTTCTTTCTATCCCCATCAAGAAAGAAAATCAAGAGGGAAATACAGGTGCTCTTCAGGTGGAAGACCTTAAGATCAAATCAAAAGTGCTCTACAAAGAACATCGTCATTATGGTCAATTCAGGTACGCTTTCGCATTTAGTTTATAACATGTTTACAGTATGGGATTATAGATATATGTTTGATCATTAGAATGAATATCACATTAACAAAGGGAACCAAGTTGTTCTTTCACATGGCACATAATAGACATATTATTCATTTTTTTTACCATGTTTATGAGCTACCCGTCAATATTGATACACAAAACCTAAACTTATATAACATATATGAAAAACTAACTTGTAACCACTTGGGTGAGAGAGAGAACTCGGGACAAAAATATAAGAGAGAGCAATAGAGGAAAATATCAAGAATACCACATTGGAGGTCACGCTGCCTTGAATGAGCAAGAACACAAAAGTGGAGGACAGCGACTCGAAAAGAGTGAAAATGTAATAATGAGGACATAGTACATGAAACAGTAAGAACGCAACAATGAGGGGATGGTACTAGAGAAAGTGAGCATGCTGCCAGAAAGAGCCAGCACATTGCATGCTGCCGAGAGAGAGACAGTGGAAGGGATGAAAAATCTAAAAATTGAAAAATAATAATTTGCTACAAAAATAATAATTAAAATTCAAATACAATCATGCTATTATAGAAGAATACATCATTGTAACAAGACTTAAGCTTAACAGATGCATTGGGCAGATTTTGATGGAAAAGGATAGTCGAATCTGTTGGCAAAATTCAGGTTATATATATATATATATATATATATATATATATATATATATATATATATATATATATATATGATACATAATTTAAATTTGTTATGCCTATTATTTATTAAGCCAAATAATAAAGTGATATGACTAAATTAAAAAAAGTTTGATTAAAGGCATATGTCATGAAAATAAAATTGTATAGAGACCATAGAAGCGATTTTTAATGATGAAGGATCAAATTGAAAATACTAAAACTTAAGTAATTAACCTAATTCTTGTTATTTTAAGGGGTCATGGTCCCCTTCTGGGAGCACGTAGACAGAACGTAAGTTTCACTCTCATTCCTTTCTTTCTATCCCTATCAAGAGAAAAAATCAAGAAAAAAATACAGATGTTCTTCAGGTGGAAGACCATAAGATCAATATAGTGTTCTACAAAGACATCATCATTATGAATAATTCAGGTACGCTTTCGCATTTAGTTTACAACATGTTTATCAGTATGTGATTACGTTTATGTTTGATAGTTAGAATGAAAATCATACTTAATTACAGTTTACCTAACAATTGGTATCAGAGCAACTCATACTTTATTCCTGTCTTTCTTAAGAAATATTTAAGAATTCATATTAATTTACGGAACCCTTAATCCCTAATTAAGAACCCCAAAATTGAGAATCCTAGGGTTTCTTAAAACCCAATTCTCTGTTTTGCGCGTGGATTATCCGGAGATGGCGCATCTGCTGGTTCAACACGCGAAATTGGAGAAGGTCGCGCGACACAGCTCTGGTGTGGCTGGGGAGATAGAAGGTTTAGGAAGGTCGAAAATACACCGAAATTCGAATGCAGTTTCCTCGGCAAAGCCACAAATTTCTTATGGCAACCGGAGGAATCAGGTTATCAACACATTTGGCCTGACATAGAATTTGGGTGGCGAATTATTTTGGGGACACTAATTGGTTTGTTTGGAGCAGCATTTGGAAGTGTTGGAGGTATCAGTGGTGGCGGCATATTCATTCCCATGCTCAATCTCGTTATTGGCTTCGATCCGAAATCCTCCACTGCTCTATTCAAATGTATGATCATGGGCTTGTTCCTCGGGCCCGCCACCACCTCAAATGGCCATAGTATCAAAAGTGGTGACGTTACTCCACGAAGCATCGGGTCACATGGTATATTTGGAAGGATCATGTGGAAACCATTAAAAAAAATGACAAAATTATATTTAGTATACAGAAATTATAAATTTTTCTTTCTTCAGAATTATAAATATTCGGTTTTGTTATATAAATAAAATATTTTATTTTGGTAGTTTAATATTTTTGTGAGCAAATTGAGTTAAGAAGTTACCAAAGTAACCTCTCTTGAATTGGGTAGTTCGTGAAAAATATTGAATGTTAATGTTTGTGTATATTCATGCGAGTATTAGTCGATTCAAAGGAAGATTAATATTTGGCCGAATTGCATACACACCTATAATGATAAACATGTGATAATTATAAAGATTTGCTTTGTCGATGATAAATCAATCCAAAGACTGGTTTGTTGTTGAACGTGTTTTATTGTCAATGTTTGATTATTACAACAAGATACTTCTAGCAGTTAATATTACTGTCCAAAGACTTGATATTGATGGTGCATTGGGTGTCTTGAGATGAGTTAAACCATTATTTGAATATATATTTTATTTATAATTATTTATTTTTATAATGTGAGCATAATTAATTTATTTCTCTTGTTCTTAATTCAGTTACAATTGTTTCTGTATCTACCAATTTAAATTTTGTTCCGATCCTCAAAAGTATGTTTCTTACTTTGGTCTGTTCTGAAGTCAATTTAGCGTCAGTACCTAGTAACACTTGGTGGTTAGACTCAGGTGCAACTACTAACATCAATGTTTCTATAAAGGGTTACCTAAGCTACCGGAAGCCAATTGATTATGAAATATGGATGTATGTTGGAGATGACAAATCAGTAGAGGTGTTTGATGTATGCCCAAGTATATACGCGTCCAGACATAGTATACATAGTTGAGGTTCTATGCAGATATTTAAGAAATCTAGGAATGGACCATTGAAAAACAGCAAAAAGGGTAATGAGATATTTAAAGAGAACAAAAGATTACATGCTCACATACAAGAGGTCAGACCAGTTGGAGATCGCTGGGTTTTCTTACTCGGACTTTGCAGGATGTCAAGATAGTTTGAAATCTACTTCAGGTTAAATTTTTATGTTGGCAGGTGGTGCGATTTCTTGGCGCAGTGTCAAGCAAACCCTTACAGCTTCATCCACTATGACAGCAGAATTTGTAGCATGCTATGAGGCGTCGAATCATGGAATATGGCTGAGAAATTTTGTCACAGGACTGCAAATTGTGAAAGGCATTGAAAGACCACTTAAGTTATATTGTGACAACAAATCAGCTGTATTGTATTCCAACAACAATAGAAGTTCGACTAAGTCAAAGCACATCGACATTAAGTTCCTAGTTGTTAAGGAAAGAGTACAGAGTGGACAGATTTTCATAGAATATTTAGGGACAAACTCCATGATATCAGATCTTCTAACTAAAAGACTTCCATCCAAAGTCTTTCATGAGCATGTTGCTCACATGGGTGTTTTACAGTTTGAGGAATTTGTGGTTTAATGGGAGTTAGTCATTTTCATATATTTTATGTTCTATATTTAATTTCATGTATGTATATATTAATTTTTTTTTGGACATATTTGGTTATCTATAGATATGCGATTTTTCGTTCATTCATTACACTTTGTATATTAAGGTTATTATATCGATAAGTTAAAGTTTGGATCATTTGAAAATAGACGTGTACAGATCACCTTCACGTAATTTTTCTTGCTACACATGTCATAATGAATCCATGTCATTTGGTTATGTAAGGATGAGTAATCATTGTTGGTTTTACTTGCGATGATACAATGAAAAGTTGGTTTGGTTCTATATCATGATATGATTAATGGACAGGACTTTTGGAGTATGCTAAAGGAATATAATGACAATTTTGAGCTCATAAAGTCTAACACATTTGTAAGGATGTAAGGACATATATATTTTTGACCAGTGGGAGATTGTTGGCAAAATTTGAGTCATGTATATATATGATACATAATTTAAATGTGTTAGGGTCATTATTTATTAAGTCAAATAATAAAGTGATATGACTAAATTAAAAATTTTGGTTAGAGATATATGTCATGAAAATAAAATTGTGTAGAGACCATAGAGCAATTTCTAATTTGATGAGGGGTCAAATTAAAAATACTAAAACTTAAATAATTAACCTAATTCTGGTTATTTCAAGGGGTGATGATCCCCTTATGTTCACATCACCTTCTAGGAGCATGTAGACGAATGTAAGTTTCACTCCAGTTATTTTCTTTCTATCCCCATCAAGAGAGAAAATCAAGAGAGAAATACAAATGTTCTTCGGTGGAATACCATAAGATCAATATAGTGTTTTACTGAAAACATCATTATTATGACTAATTCAAGTACGCTTTCGTATTTAATTTACAACATATTTATCAAAATAAAATTACGTTTATATTTAATGGTTAGAATTAATATCATAATTAATTATAGTATACATGTAAGAATCGCCCCCGGTAACAATTCACAAGGAAGAGGAGTGACATTGCTCGTGACTCCCACAACATTAGTGCAATTCCATTGAAGCTTCTTTCGTTCTTTATTCAATTATATATTAACATTAGTGCAATTCCATTGAAGCTTCTTTCGTTCTGTATTCAATTATATATTCACATTAGAAATGCAAATATATGTGAAAGGGTGATTAGAAATTCCTTCCAGTGTTGCAGAATATTTAACATTTGTAGCTACAACATCTCTATAATTTATCCAGTAATGTTAGGAAGTGCGTTGGGATCATAGCCAGGGTCAGGGTGTGATCCATAAGAGCCAGTCATCCAAAATACATATTTCATGGCTGTCAGGTTCATTCCTTAGACAAATATGTTCTTCACATATCCCCCTCTACCAAATGCTGTTTTGATTCTAATAGCTGATTCAGTGTCGATCGCAGTGAGACCTTCAACTCTAACATCGAAGATTCCTCCAGACATTTCATTGCCTAAGGCAATCATGGCACTGTCAGGGGATTTACCAGTAATCCCTCTAATGACTAGGTGTTGGGATGGCATTGCAGATTTAATCCCATACTCATCCCGTCCACTCTTTACTGAAATGCAATCATCACCAGAAACAATGTACCAATCTTCAACCCAAACGTTTATACATGAATCTGTGAAGAAGAAGAAGAAAAAATATGAGAAAAATTGGAAAAAGGTATAAAATAGAAGGATAAACATGTTACCTGGGTCTATTCCACTGGAGCAAGAATGGTACGCCCTTGCATTATTATGGTACTGAGAATATATATATATATATATCCTTATCAGAATAACGAAACTAGAATGCACCAATGTCAAGAATTTTGAACAAAGAAGCCTCATCTAACCTTCTGTAAATTGGATGGACAAAATAGGATGGGGAGTTAATCAAAGTGAGAGACGATATTTGGAACTTGAACAATCATGTATGGCCTAGTGAGATTCAATTGCTTTTGATTGAACTTGTTCTACCAATAAGATCCTTGTCCATCAATTTTACCATTTTGACCTAAATACCAAATTCAATCAGGTAAAACTGAACAATGACTTAGCCACATTTAAATGAATCAGACAGTCATAAGTTTTGTTCTTCATATTAATCTGACTTGATTGTAAAAGCTGGTTAAGAATTATTACTATCAAGAACCCCCTATCTGTAGTTACAACATGTGGGTTCGAAAAATTAGACTGCTAAACTTCCTCCAGGAGCGTCTCTTCCTCTTCCATAAGAAGGAAATACAGAAAGATGGGGCCATTCTGATTCATCCTTGATTTCTAATTTTTTAATGCATGTGTCTAATTTGCTTCTTTTAAAAGTTATTTATTTATTTATTTTTATAAGTAAAATCAAATTGCTTATCAAATGAGTAATTATTTTAAAAATACTTATTTTAAGTTTAAACGAATTGACAGACTATTTTATTTGAAAACAAGTAAAAATTAAAAAAGTTAATGTTCCATTAAATTCTAATTGCCCAAATGTATTCCATTTGTTCCACAAATTATATAAGTTTTTGTCACACCCTTAATTAAAAAAATCATATAAATTAAAAACAATGATAAATATATCACTTTTAAAATATTTTTATCCAAATAACCTTATTTTTTTTAATAAATGCATTATTTTCATAAAAAAAATAAAATAAAGAGGGAATAAGGTATACCTGTGATGCAAGAATAACAGCATTGTGGTCAAGAAAAAGAGTAAAATGGCTTGTGAGATTAAAGGGTCCCCGTTAGCCATTTTCCGGGTGGCACGATGAGTTGTGCACCTCGATCAGCTGCATATTGGCTGAGTTTGCTTATTGAATTTCGAAAGGCTTTGGTGTTGGATGTAACCCCGTCTCCAACCCCACCAAAATCTGTAAAACTGCACTATGTTTTCTGCAATTAATGGCTGGGTATTCAATGTAGTTTCCCAGTACCTTGATTTCTGCTACCTTCACATTTTCTGATCCTAAATTATCATAACTAAAGAGACGATGTAGACATGGTAACGGCCGGGACGGGACCGTTTTGCCTCCCGATCCGCACCCAACTTTTTTAACGTTGTCGCGCTCGTCCTATCAGAAATTAAATCTTTCTTTGGTTTGAATTTTGGTTTGTTCGACTCTTATCTTATTTTCTATCTATATTATTAAAAAAATATTGTATTTATAATAAATTAATTTTATTATTTTTATAAATTTTTTATATATAAATAAATATTTATAATTTTATAATTATAACTATTATTAATTAAATATATTTTTTAATCTATTATATTTATATTAAAATATGTATATAAAAGAAATATTAATATTTTTTATTTATATTATTATTATATTTAAATATTTGATTATATATAAATTAATTTATTTTTAAATTATTATTTAAAAATATGAAATATATAATTATTAAAAAAATATTTAATAAGTTAATTCATGTTTAATTAGTTCAAAATAATAAAAGTTTAAATTATCAATTCTTTTTAATTTTTTAAAATATAATTATTTTACTAAGATAAAATTTGATATATGATAAATAAGAATAATAAGATTAAAAAAATATGACATAATAAAACTTAATAAATATAAATTATAAATAAAATAATATTAATTATTACTTAGGAAAATATTTAGAAAAAGATAAAGAAAAAAATAATTTTGTGTTCATCAAATTGGTTGAAAAGATTGAAAAAAATTGATGGGAGAGATTAAGAAAATGTTAAAAACTGAAAAGTAAGAAAAAGAGAATAATGTAATAAACTAATTGATATAAAATATTAAAAAAGACAAAAAAATTAAAAAGTGGATAAAAAAATAAAAATGGTAAAATATTAAAAAATGACTTTATATATAATAGAAAAATAAAAAAAAACATTTTTAAAATATTAATATTTTAAAATTTAAATTTAAATTTAAATATAAAGTCGAGACGGGACATCGATAAGATTGGAGTAGGGATTATATATATTCATCCTCAATCCCGTCCCCAATTTTTTAAATAAGCGAAAATTTGAACTCATTTTTATCTCTGGTCAATTCAATTTTTTCTGAGATGAAATAAATTGATTCTTATGAGTATGAATTTAATTGACATCCCAGTTATCTACGTATATAATAGTCCATAAAAAAAACCCTGATAAAAATAATTTATGAAACAGTCATATTTTTCCTCGTACTGTATTACACGCAAGATAAGTAGAGTGAAAGATAGAGATATACTAGAACATTACATAAGAATTTCGAAGTTATGGACTCATGTGCATTTTGAGATATGGCAGAATCAAGTTTTACTTTCCTAAGAAGAAATCTATATATGAAAATGGAGGAATAAATGCATTTATGAAACATAGATTTTAATTTTCAACACTAAATGCAGCTATGGAATAATAATTGGAAAAATAATATTTACTTTACATTAATACTATTTAATACATAAATATTAACGTTAACACCTGATTTTATTAATTTGATACTCTCTCCTTTCACAATAACGGTAGATTTAACCGTATAATTTTCTTAAAAAATATTTTCATAAGTATTTTTTTTCCTAATATGTTCTCAAATTAATTAATCTTTCTATCTCGAGTAAAGCAATATATTTATTGAAATATAATTATTGAAAGAGTGGTATTATTTTAATATTAAACGTATTGTATTTATCGTTGTTTTTAATAGATTTAAAAAATTGGTTGGAGAAAATTATTTTAATAAATATGTAAAAAATATATTTAATATCGATTATTGTATTTATTGTGTTGAAGATGAGGGTGGTGGGTTTTGTAAATGGAACTAAATTGACACTTTTTTTACAAGATATAATGGAAAAACTTTTAACTTTAAAAGTTTACAAAATAAAAAAATTTAAAAAATATTTATTTAATAAGTTATTTAAGATGTATTTAAGTGACTTATTTATTAGGAGTGTTCATGATCGGACTGCTTACAATACCACCTACAAATTTGTCAAATTTACATAAATAACTTTCTTTCGTTTACGTGTAAGACTAAAAAAATAATAGATTTTAGTATTAAATAATTCATATTAAAAAATTTGATTAGAATTGTTTATATCTACATGATATATCTGGTTTTTCTCCCACACATCTAACTATATATTATCAATTTTAAATACATTCTTAACAAATTAAAATTTCTTAAATTAAAAGCATTTGTTCATCTCAAATATCATTGACTTACTTGGACGAGAAAAGTGGTCTTTTTTTATATTTTTATTTTCAAAAATAAGTCTTTAGGAGTAATAAAAAAAGGAAAAACACAATGGTATTGTTTTTTATGCAATTAAAGATAGTGTTGTGTGAGAGGTATGAAGAAGTTCCCACAGCTCCAGATGTTCCACGAGGTTATATTGTATTGAAATGAACCGACCACCACCACCTCCCTCGTTGTTCCACAAACCACGAAATTGTGGTCTATATGAAACCAATCACGCTAACCTCTTCACTTTACAATCACACCAACCTCTCTCTCTTTCTCTCTCTCCCTCTTTTTTACCCCACACACAATTCAGAACTCAAGACACTCTTTACCCTCTTAATCCAACCTAGAACCTCAATCCCCCCACCTTTCCATGGCGGCAGGACTCTCCACCGCCGCAAACTTAAAGCCCTACAATCTCCTACAACCCCCAATCCCTCTTCCTAAACCAAAACAATCACTTTTCTTCAACCCCTTACCATCTTTCCATCAAAGCACAATCCTTCGGGTTCGACCCCCGAGAAGAATGAGTGGCTTCTCCGTTTCTGTCCTCACAGAGGATCCCAAACGGAACGTCCAGATCGAAACCTACGAAGAAGAAGAGGAAGAACAACAACAAGAAGTGAATCCTCAATTTGTGTCGGCACGAATGGAAGAGAAATTGGCCAGAAAGAGGTCTCAGAGGTTCACTTACCTCGTTGCGGCTGTTATGTCTAGCTTTGGTGTCACCTCTATGGCAGTCTTCGCCGTTTATTATAGATTCTCTTGGCAAATGGAGGTAGTATATGCATAGTTATTCAAGTTTTAATTTTTTTGGTCTCTGTGTTGTGCTAGTTTTTGCATCTGAATATTGGGTTGTGTTGGCGTAGGGTGGAGATTTTCCTTGGTCTGAAATGTTAGGCACATTTTCCCTCTCCGTGGGTGCTGCCGTAAGTCCTACCCCTTTACCAATATCAAATCGGCTAATTCAATTATTGATGTTGAAATGAATCGGGTATGTCTAATTTTCAGGTGGCTATGGAATTTTGGGCAAGATGGGCTCATAGAGCACTTTGGCATGCTTCCTTGTGGCACATGCACGAGGTTTGCTTGCTTCCAACAACTCTTCAATTATTATATGTGCCTTGATTAAACTAATCAGAAAATTTGCCAAGAAAATGAAAGTTTGTGTTAATCAAGGGCTACCCAATTTCTTATTGAATCCAACATATGAAGTTGAATTGTTACCTCGCAGTCGCACCATCGACCAAGAGAGGGACCATTCGAGCTTAACGATGTTTTTGCGATAATTAACGCTGTCCCTGCCATCGCTCTTCTCTCATACGGTTTTCTCCACAAGGGTCTGATCCCTGGCCTCTGTTTCGGTGCAGTAAGTGTATATTTCGTAGTCTTATTTTTTAATCCCTTAATTAACGGTTTCATTGGGATCCGTTAATTGAAATAATGGATGGTAATAATTTGACGATAATGCCCCTAAAAACTGTGAATGGAGCAGGGCCTTGGAATCACAGTGTTTGGGATGGCCTACATGTTTGTCCACGATGGATTGGTTCACAAGAGATTCCATGTGGGCCCCATTGCCAACGTGCCCTATTTCAGAAGGGTTGCTGCTGCTCACCAAGTAATCATTTTTTTTTTTCATTTTCACTCAATTTATTTCTTCTTTTATTGTTTTATTTTTAGCGATGCAGTTGAAAAGAAAAAAATTGTTAGTTGTGGAATAGGATCTTAATTTTGATGCGATGGTTTTGAATTTTTGTTGTCTGTATTATTCAGCTCCACCATACTGACAAATTCAACGGTGTGCCATATGGGCTGTTTTTGGGACCAAAGGTGAGCCACGTTCCTGTTTCTGTTCTCTATTATTTTTTATTTTATTTTTTTATTTAAACAGGTTCTTAGACCCCACAAACAAAAATTATATTTTATGAAATTAGAAGTTTCACTTTTTTCCCATAAGGTTTGGGATATTTATTGCAATGCTAATAGCCTTTTGTTTGATAAAATATTGCGCAGGAGCTTGAAGAAGTGGGAGGGCTAGAGGAGCTAGAGAAAGAGATAAGTAGGAGAATAAGGTCTGGTTCATGACCATGCCACTCATAGATTTAGGTTTGTTTGAAATATGAGTGGAAACAGTGCAACAAATGAATGATGTTACTCCAATATCTTCTTGGCTTTCATACACCTATTCATGCTATAGCAGAATACATGACAAAAAATTATAGGTTTCAAATTTATAGATACACGAACAGAACATAGTCTTTGATTTTTTATTTAATTATTTCTCTTCAATTTGAGAAAGAGAAAGGAACATGGCATGTGTCTTTTTTTTTTTCCACTTGCATGATAATTATTCCATATGTATGCTGATGGATCTGTCCCACTTGCATGATACATTCTTTTTGCTTGATGTATATCAAAACATAATGGATAACCTAAAAGTATGCTACTAGGATAAATATTCTATTTATAAATATTTGTATTTAGAGAGAATAGATATTTTACTTAAAATGAATTTGAAATCAAGTATTTACTCATAAATTCAAAATGAATATGAAGAATGGATATTAATATGAGGAGTGTAATAAGGATTCAATCTATACCATTATCTACTTAGTAATATTTAATTGAAACAATTATTATATATTTATAATTATATTTTTATTAATCATCAAAACATAATATATTTATAAAACACAACCGATATGAAATATACCTTTTCAAAATATACAAAGATGCGAATTATTAGATAATATTATTATTTTTGTTAAAATTTAATAACATTAAGTAAAAAATTTATAAAATTATAATTTAATAATTAAATTGATAAAATTTAATGTTTATATAAAATTATTGATTATATAACCTAATCTAATAAACTGTAGATGAAGCAAAATGAATTTTCAAAAAGACAATTTAACTTTTATCTGTAATCAAATCAATTATCATGGTAAATATTTAAATTAAATTATTTTTATATAACTAAGTATACAATCATAAATTATATATACTTTACGATTATATTTTGTAAAAATAATTTAATTTAGTTAGGTTGAGAGTATAATTATGAATTGAAATCAAATGTTGACTAATTTAGAATATATATATATATATATATATATATATATATATAATATGTATTAAATTTTTCGATTGGTGATATATTTTTTTATAATTATTTTATATTTCATTTATGAAAATCTTGTTAATTTTTTAGAAATATTTTAAAATCTCAAGAGGGTGGATCTTTGTATAAAAAATGTTCCGGATAAGACTTACAAGTGATAAAAAATTGACTGACATAACGTTAATTTGTTTTATCATTTAATAAAGGGGAAAACTTTAGCTAAAGTAGTAGTAAACTCACTTGTTAATTGTTTCATATTATGATTAATCAATAAGAATCTTATGAAAATTTATATATTTGTAAAAAATTCAAAGTAGTAAACATTTTAAAATAACTAAGTACATATTATAATTAATCAATAAGAATGTTATACTACAAGAAAATTGCGTATTACCGATCGGATATTTATCGACGGATTTGTAATCATCGGAAAATAATTATTACAGACAGAAATTATTGACGGATATAAAATATTTGTAGAATTTGATTTTATCGACGGATATATCCATCGATAAAATAATAATTAGTTACCGACGGATATATCCGTCGGTAATTTACAGTATAAATTTATCGACAGATATATCCGTTGGTAAATTCGTCGATAAATTAACAATTAATTACCGATGGATATATCCGTCGGTAAATTCATCTGTAAATTACCGATGGATATTTCCGTCGATAAATTAATAATTAGTAAATATTCACCTAATTAAAAAATTAAATATTTTTTATTTAATAATTTAATTTAATCATAATTAGATTAATTTATAATAATTTCTTAAATTAAATAATTTTAAAAAATAAATATTTAATTATATATAAATATATAAATATATAAAATATAAATATATAAATATATAAAATATAAATATATAAAATATAAATATATAAATATATAAATATATAAAATATATAAAATATAAATATATAAATATATAAAATATAAATATATAAATATATAAATATATAAAATATAAATATATAAATATATAAATATATAAATATAATTTATTTGTAAATTATTATCTCGAAAATTCTAGTAGCTTAGTGGTTGGAGTATCGCCTCTAACTCTAATGTCTCGGGTTCAAATCCTGCCAATGATAATTTTAATAATAATTGAAGGCTATAAAAATTGTAATAAGGGAAGATAATTAATAATAAATAAGAAAAAAATAAAGGGAAGGGTTGTATACTCTAAATAAGTTATAGAGTAAAATATTTAATAAATAATAAAGATATTACCGACGGATTTTCACTGTCCGTAATATTTCATGAAAAATATATAAATTTTAAAAAAATTCAAAAGTAGTAAACATTTTAAAGCCACTAAGTAGTAGTTAATTTAAAATAAAAAAATTACATAAAAATGTAAAATGATGTGTACCTAATTAATTCTGTGAGAATTCATAAGTTAATAATTCATAAGAAGGAAGAACTTTCTCGTGGCATCTTCTATTAATTTATGTTATCCTCTAAATTTTTTATATACAGTACGATAATATAAAACTAAAACCTAACTACCTAAGATATCGTGCAAGGTATCAGGGAGAGAGGCCATGACCTCCTGTTAATCATGCACATGCAGATTTATATTATCAAATTACAAATTAATGGAGGAACCAAGCAAGACAGTATAATTTGTCAATGCATGCTAGTAGCTCAACCAAAGTTGAATGGACAAAATTTAATGCACTCAAAGCACGTAATAAATATTATAATGTTTAAAAAAAACACCTAAATAATATTTTATAAAACTAATTTAGAATAGTCTAATATGGGAATTAAACCATGCTCAACTGATATAGACTTTGAAAAAGTACTCTCCAACTAAATCTATTATTAGACGAGGTAAAAATGTTTTTATTCGCGATAAAATTATATCTTTTTATTCAATATAACAATAAAAAAAAGACAACTATTAATAAAGAAAACAATTGAAAAGAAAAATTGAATTTTAGTTTTCCTACTATTAGAATTGTAACCCTAAATTACATATCATATATTTAAATCATGGTGATGTGACATATATATATATATATATATATATATATTAAATAATATAACTTTAAATAAAAAATTATAAAAATTATTTTCGGATCGACATGATAATCCTAAATTTGATTATATTAAGATAACATTTTTTAACATTAGTCACGTGTTTAATAATAATAATTATATTCAACTTCTAAAATTAATTTTGATTATATTATAAAGTAAGGTTGGTTTAACAGTAGGTATGATTTGTATGTAAGGAATAATTCTTATTTTTGGTATATCGTACCAAGAGGATCATATTCATAAAAAAAAGGTTAATATTTTATAAATTATAAAAACTATAAATCTAAATGATTATGAAAAAAATATTATCTCATTCTCTAATATAGTATTTGTTTTCATTATTGATTTTTTTAAAAGAGAAAAGTAGACAAATAATTTTATTGTTTATATTTTTGTAATTATATGAATGAAAAAATTTTCTAATATAAAAAAAAATCTAAAACATTAATTTGTCCCCAAACCCTAATTGTTCTTATCCTTGAAATTAATAAAACAAAACGAGTGGAGGCTGTCAATTGAGTTGAAGGTTAAGACCGAATACAGGTTTCGTGGGGGTTATTACTTGCCACATTGATCATGTTTTTTGCTTGCACATCACCAAATTGCTTTGTCCATCTCTCGGGTTGGTTCTATCCGAATCTTTGATACGTGTAAAACATACTCGTCTATACTTTCACCAATTGGTTACCCTCAACACCAAAACCAAACTCTCAACCTCAGTGGTTCCTGCACTTCATCTGCTTTATAAACAGTTCCACATAAGATTGGACCACCTTTCACTTTTCCATGTAGGGTTTAGTGATGTTTTCATTTTAATTTATATGTCCAATTTGCCAAAGGCCTTGTTCATTGATTCACACGTGTAAATCTTCTTGGCATTGCATGAATACTGTAAATAATTCTTATTCATCAAATTTTTAATTAATGGTGCATCCTTTGTTTACTTTATCTTATCTTGCTAATGACCAAAAAGTTGACAAAAAATTTAACACCACTGCCAGTGATTACAAGATTAAAAAAATTATCTCTTAGGACCAACAGCCAATATCTAAATTCAATTACGTCAACAAATTAACTAAAGCTTAGGACAAGAATCAGGAAATCATTTTTTAGAAGAAAAACAAGAAAAGGCAGGTAATATATTATAATATATTTTACTGATTTGATGGTTGAAAATTTTGGCTTATAAAATTTCTCTACTGTGAATTGGTATTCAAAACTTAAATGTTAACTCTCACTTTCCCAATACGAAATGTCATAAAACTAATCCAAAACACATTAGAACAAGAAATAGTGACCCGAATGGGAAGCAAGTGGTACAGTATTCAATTAAAATGGAGAAGATCACGGCAAGTGTTGGCGCGGATTCAACACTATGTGGAAAACCAAATCCAAAAAATAAGAGGAAAAGAAGTGCAGTTAAACCAATTAAAGAGCAAATTAAACTTCCTTCTGACGTTAAATCAGTTTATAAATATATATATATATATATATATATATATATATATATATATATATATATATATATATATATATATATATATATATTAGAAGTTACACTTTCTTTATTTAGGAGATTGGTATATCGAATTTTTTTAATTTGGCACATTGCAAACAACCTTTTAATTTAAGTAACTTTTTTTATAATTCTCAAAATTACCTACAATTGATTTTGGACTTTTGTTTTTGACTTTGAAATTTAGAAGATAGATTAAAAATTTAAAATAGATAACAAGAATGTTTAAAAGTGATTTCCCTATTATGAAATGTTGAAATTAACAAGAGAGTATTTAAAATTAGTTTCTGATAAAATAAAAAGTTACATACAAGAAAAAATGTAAGGGATAAATAGTATATAAATTAAAGTGTTTTTATTTTCTAGTCTTTAAATTAAGTGTTATGCGTCCATACCTGTTGTATGTATTGGGCTTTAGGCCCAATAGTAAATGGACTAAAGATCGTCTAAAAATTTGTATTCTCACCGGAAGGAAAGTTAGAACTAGTTTCTGTTTTCGGTCCAATACGTTTTTTATTTATAAATATGAAGGGAAAAGGTTTTTTTTGCTCAATAAGCTTACCCATGAGCATCTTTAAACGAAGAAAAAAATCTGAACCGTCCCTCCCTGAACCCTCAGAAAATATGCTCTTGATTCTCCGTCTGGGACGAGTTCCACGAGGCTATGATGGGTCCACGTGTCCTTTCGACGCCCAACAAACACAAGCTGTCACCGTAGGAGAGAAAAGTAAGATTTTTCTAGGTGATCTGTTTCTCATCACTCGACACGTGTTCAACCACCATTCGTGATTGATGCGGTTCATGTTTTCTTTCCTCTCTCATGTTAGTGCTGCTTCCTCTCTCTCTCTCTCTCTCTCTCTCTTTCATTTCCATAACTTTTCCAATTCTCACTTTCTTCCCTTTTTCCTACTTAACTACGTTTTCTCTAGATCCAACCACTTCCACTGCAACCAATTATTTCTTGTTTCTTTTGTTTCATTTTTGCTCACAAACCAACACACTGTGTTGGATCTCTCCCTCTTTTCTCTATGCCATTCCCCCCAGGTTTGATTCAGTTCAAGTTTTGCAGTTATTTTCGCTCATGATGTTTTTTCCTTTTCTTTTTAAGTTTCCTTAATCGGTATCTGGATCTGATTTCTGATTATGTGTTGGAGTGATTGGTTTTTAAGAAAGTTTATCATAGTAGATCTTATGGTGCTGCTATGTACGGTTGCTGGTTTTTACTTCAATTCTGTTTATTGTTTTTAAAAACTGGGTGGATCTGGTCAAACTAAGTGTTTCGTATATATATTTGTTTTTGGGTTCTATCTGACTACAATTAGATTTGAGTGGAAGAAAATGGGGTCGTCTGCTCTTCTATTTGAGAATAATCAAATCAACTCACTCAAGTTAAATAAGTGGCTTGAAGTTTAAGTTGTTATCGTGATCCTTTCCTTGGTTTCTATGTCTTTGTTTTTAAATAATTTATTAGTTAAGTATGATACAGATTACAATGTTCTAAATAAAAATGTTTTAGTATGTCTTGCTGCATTACACTTCTCCTCACTTTTCATTCTTCAACTTGTCCTTAACAAATTTAGTTTATGCACTTGACTTGAGAACAACTTGATTTACCGTTTCTGCATTTAATTAACATGATTCAATCATGCTACTGTTTTCTTTTCTTCTAGTTCCTTTGAATCTACATTTTTTTTTTTGCATTCTTGTTTATTTATAGGAATTTGTCACTTAAGGTTTTTAATCAAATATGTTTAATGACTGAAAATTGTAAACTAGTTTTAGTCTCTCTTTAACCCTGTCATGGCCTGATTGGATTTTTATTTTTTTCTTCCGAGTTTCTTACGGTAAATTACTATATATGTCTCTTTATCTTTGTGATGATTTAGCTGTGGTTTTTGTTTTTACTGCAGCTTGGAAGGTTGTTCTGGTATCAGAGTGTAACCGTGGGGTCAGAATTTATTACTAGTCTTGTAGAGTGGCTAGGTTTTTCAGGATGGGCAAGTGCAAGGGTTGTGGGAAGTTAGGAAGAATGGGGCCAACAAATGGGTCTATGAGTGCTTATGAATTTTCTTTGATGTTGTCTCCTGTCGTTTCTTTTTGGGATTGTATATTCCGCAAAATGAGGTACTCCTACAGACCTGAGTGGGTGTAGTGGTAGAAGTTAGAACACAACCTTAGTACCAGTCTTGATACTTCAACTAAATATATTAGCATAACAATTTAGGGGAAGAGGGGGGAAATTTTTAGCAGAAAAATGTATACAAAACTCTAAAGAGATTCTCTTGAAGGATAGGAGTTCACAAGTTATTTTGAGTATTTATATAGATGATGAGATCTATGGATAGCATGGCATGTAATAAAGTGCAACATGTCAGAAAGGCAAAAAAGAAGCAAGTGAAAGACGAGTTAGATCGTCTTAAACAGGCTGAGAAGAAGAAGAGGCGCTTGGAAAAAGCTCTAGCTACATCTGCTGCCATCATTTCTGAACTGGAGAAAAAGAAGCAGAAAAAGAAAGAGGAGCTACAGAGACTTGACGAAGAGGGTGCTGCAATTGCTGAAGCAGTGGCTTTACATGTTCTTCTCGGCGAAGATTCAGACGATACCTGTAATGTTGTTATAAATGACAGTGGATGCAAGACTTGGAATTATAGTCGCAAACTTGACCTCTTCATGGGTGGAAGAAGAGCTTGTTTTCCTCATCTAGATGGGGGCACATGGTCTGTTTCTTCTGAAAATGGCAAGTGGTCCTTCTCATGCGGGCCTCTTGAGAAGAATGTGGATGAACCCCTGTACGAAGAGGTGGGATGGGGTTCTACTGGATTCTCTGTTGATCTCACAGCAGCACAAGCTGTTAGATCACTCCAGATTGCAGAGGATGCAAATGAAGCAAGAATTCTTTTCTAATGGAAATGCTGAAATCAAATTATTTGTCTTTGTAGGTGCTGTATGGAGTCTTAAACTTCTGCTACTATAATGGAGGTTGTCTTTTTGTATATACATTATGTGCTTGTCAGCTACATCCTGCTTCAGTTGTGACTGAACTTGTTGCTTTGTCACTGTATTTTCATATGATTTTTGTTAACTGCGTGCATAGCTGCGAATTTTCCATTTGGATTGACTTCCATACTCTAGTGTTGCAGAGATTTATAACTTTTTGAATTCATTACCAATAATATAAATGCTCGAGTGGACTCACAATTTATATACATATTATTTACGTTGTTAGGTCTTGGAATACATTTCTGTAAGTGGTTCTCTTTATCTTGCACACAGTAGATTTATAAATAAATAAGCATAGTTCTGTGTTGGATTCGCACATTAGTTTTGTCAACGCTAACAATTCATTTGACCTTAAGGTGGATAATGAAGAATATTGTCAACGTGGTGCCACCACTTCCAATTCTTTGGACGAGTTTCTTAATAAATATTTTTGTAGGAGAAAAAAAAATATAAAATTGTTAGTAAAAATGATAAATATAATATTATTTTATTTTTAAAATTAAAAAATTAAAGTGTTTATTTAATAAAATCTATAATTATCTCTTGAAATCCAAAAAGAAATAAGTTTCAATGGCAACTAAGATCATTAAAAAGCATTAAAGAGAGCCAAGTTACATATTAAAGAGAGATGCAAATTCTAATTTAACTTGAAAACAAATGTTTAGTAGCATTGCATCAAGTCTTTATTTAGTTCGCATATTTTTACACTCGGTCGGCCCTGAAAATTTTCGGTAGTATATTTTATAGTGGAGAATACACGCTTCCATTTCCCGTCTTACATTAGAATTGAACACAGCATATTGTTGGCTGTATCCTATGAAACTCATGCATAAAGGGAGATAACTCATTCACGCGTGGCAAAAGAGTGATGGCCAGCTTTGCTTGAGCTTTAGAATATATTCAGAAACAAATATCATCATGAACTTTTACAAAAAGATGAAAGCAAATATCGAATATTAGCATGTGAAACGTAACTACACTTTCAATTATTTTAGATTTTATGGTTTGGAGAAAATGTATCTTTTAGAGAAAATTCACTTTTTTGAGTTACATTCATATGCACGGATAACTAGCTGAATGGACTACCACTCATGATTTTGTTTGAAAAGTGACCTCGAAGAGGTTAATGATTAAGCTATTTAAATCGCTTTTGATGGTATCAAGTAACATGTTATGCATTTAGAATGGTATCATGCAGTGTTCTGCTGGTGTTTAGTATTTCCATGTATTTTATTTTTTTCAGGGGATTGTGCAAACTCTATTCTGTTTCTACTTGATGAAGTAGTTGATTAGTGAACTCATCATGATGCATTCGGAGCACAGAGGATGACGGGTCAGAATTCTTCAGTAAAGAATTTCTTATGGGCATCCCATTTAAATGTGAATGTGCAGTTTCCAATGAGAAAAAAAAATAAGGAGCAAATAAAGTTGTTTTATTTTTATGGTTTTTATTACTGGTGATTTATATATTAGGTAAACTTGGCTTTATTGATTATCCTCCAGAGCATTGACAAGCACATTTTTAACAAAAATGAAAATACATAGAAAGAAGGGCTTATCTAAAGTATCAAGTTCATAAAAAAACCTGGTAAGTTAAGACCTATGCGTTGAAAATTTGTATGGTAGAGATTTGCGCCATATAAATTCTACCTAGCTTCTACAATCCATTTTGTGTCGTCCAAGTTCTAAAACAAACATTACATGTCTTTAGTCCACACAAGACTTAGGATTGGAAATGAAACTAGAACTTTGAGCTGAAATTCCAAATATATCATACAAAGGGACCACAAAACTAATAGCTCATCACAAATTTGACTGATTCAGCTCTATAATACATACAGAATTCTGTATAAAATAAACGAAAAAATTCTACTACAAAAATTTTAAGCACTCTCCAAATATCAGACAAGAAGGAATTCCAACATTTGTAATAAAATATCAATGAAGTAGTGCTTCCATGAGTAAATCTTTCTAATTATGGTTTCGGTGCAATTTTTTCAAAAGAAAAACTTCACAGAAAAATATGAAAGCTTATGTGCTGCTTCAATACTCTTGCTTATATTTGCAGCATAAACTTATCTCTATCTGCCTTCATTGTTCATTAGCTGGGAAAACACTTGGCTAGTACTTACATCTGAAGAAAAATTATCATAATCCCTAGCTGCTCTTGTGTTGGTAGAAGGATTTCCAGGAATAACTGTATTTGTCACACTCACAGCTCCACTAGCACTGCTGTTGGAATGTGGCTCCCTTTGATGTACACTTTCTTGGAGCTGAAGTGCATACTCCAAATTCCATAAGACATCACCCATAGCTGGCCTGTCAACACCATACTCAGCCAAACATTTCTCTGCGGTTTCACAAAATTTTTTTAAGGAGTCTTGTTGGATCTGTCCAAGAAGATGGGGGTCAACAATTTTCTCCAGCATGCCTTTCTTCAGCCATTCAAGTGCCCATTCTGCCAAATTCACCTGTTCTCTTGCTAATTGTGGATCAACAGCAGGTCTGCCACAAAGAACCTCAAAAAGCACAACCCCAAATGAATAAACGTCTGACTTATCTGTAAGCTGCTGCCTCCGGTAATACTCAGGATCAAGATAACCAAAACTACCTTTCACATTAGTACTGACATGTGTTTCATTGATGCATGGCCCTGACCTTGAAAGACCAAAGTCAGCAACCTTGGCCACATAGTCTTCATCAAGTAATATGTTGGTTGATTTAATGTCACGGTGGATGATTCCTTGAGCAAAGCCAGTGTGAAGATAGTGAAGACCTCTGGCCGCACCAATGCATATTTCAAGACGCTGCTTCCAAGAGAGAGGTGGCTGTCGTGATGAGCCATATAAATGCTTCTTCAGAGGACCCTTTTCAACATACTCATAGACAAGTATCATTTCTGAGTTTTCTTCACAGAAACCAACTAGTGAAACAAGGTGGCGATGTCGAATTTTGGACAAAACTGTTATCTCAGTCTGAAACTCAGGAAGGCCTTGTCTGGACCCTGGCATGCCTCTCTTTACAGCAACCTTCATATTGTCTCTGAACACTCCCTTGTAGACCATACCAAACCCACCAGAACCTATAATCAAATTTCTATCAAAGTTGTTTGTTGCTGATTGTATTTCAGTAAAAGGGATCTTCAGGCCAAGAAGTCCATGAGAACCAGGCTCAGAGCTTCTACTGAGGGAACTCCCTCCAAACATGCTTAAAGGTGTCCATCCAACACTTTCCAATGTCCTTTGTTTTGGTTTCTTGTTCCTGCATTTGGTACCAAGTACAAAAGCAGTTACAACTAGAAACAAAACAACAATTCCTCCAACAACTGAACCCACCAACACCCACAAATTCTTCCTCCTATGCACAACATTAGTACTGACATTATTGACCATCTCCATTATCTCTGCACCATTCAATATGGCATTCATCCTTATTGAAGTGCTGAGCTCAGAAGGACCAACACTCACTTGAACAAAACCCGAGTAATCTGAATTTGTAACAAAATCCACGTAGACAGGAGATGCAAGCATGTGGGTGGTAAGGGCGGACAAATCAAGATCCTTGTATGCAATGTACCCATTGATGTACACATCAAAGTAGAGCAAGTTGAGAGCAGGACTAACGATATCACAGAAATGCAACCGAACCAAGTGTGGAACACCACCAGGAGAGACAGGGAAGTTCCAGGTTATGTTGAACCTTGATGCCAAACTTGAGTTTTCCCTATTCATTTGTTGAGCAGTCATGTAAACATTTTCAGGTGCTATCTCTCTAGTTGCACCTCCCTTCTGGTAATTTGGTATGTGAGTGCTCACTGCAGGCTTTGCTGCACCCTTGAAATCCAAATAATCCTCATCAGGAATCCAAGTCCTCCAAAGGGTGTCATTGAACGGAGTTATTTTCAAACCCCCAACATTGATCCTATGAACAGTTTCCAAAACCTGGGATGAAAGGTTTCTGTACTCTTCCACCCCAGAGGGACCGACCAACCTGGCTCCAGAATCTATAACAAAATCCACAGGGGCAGTAAACACCTCCAAAGCATTGACAAAGGCAAAACCTGAGTCACCAACAGGTCTAAACAAAATCTCAAGAAAGTTTGACTCTATGTTTAGAATGAACTCTTTGAGAAGCACATCATTAGGTGGCTGGAAATTGCTCAGTACCGAAACCCCATTAACATAGACACTAAAATTTGCTGATTTTAGATCAAAACTTTGAGCCTTGAAGGGGGAGAAATGAAAACGCACCAAGTTGGTGCCGTTTTTCTTCATGTTGAACCTGTAACTCCCAGTGTTGCTGAAAACTCTTGCTGTGTGGTACAGAGTGGGCAAATTCTGAGGTGGCTTTTGATATGCGAGTGAAACTGAATCATCTGAAGAGAGAAAATTGGAACCTGGGTTGGTGGAATCGCCCATGAAGACTCTGTTAAAGAGGGAGGCATTGTTGTGTGCTCCACAACTGAGAAGAAAGTTTTCTGTGGGAGAGAATGAAACTGAGAACGGTATGAAAAGGAGGAGGATAAAGGGTATGTTGTTTAGGGTGTTCATTGAAGAGAGGTTTGGTTTTGGCCTTTGGATTCCTTGAAGACCGTGAGTCAGGCTGAGAAAACTCATGCCATGAGTAGTGTCTAGTTAGAGGATACAAAAGGGAGGTGTGATGTGTGAACAGAACTGCGACAAGAGGACAACAGAGACAGTGACTTAAGTCCCAGCGAAGATTTGAGAAGGAAGATGTAATATAGTACATGAATTTGGTAACACAAGTCAAAGGATTGCACCTACTCTTGCATTTGCTTTTTATGGTTATTTGATTCGAAACTCAACATTTTCGGACGTTTCTCAAATCTGCATTAGTTAGTTTTCTCTGCTTTTTTTTAACTTCAAATAACGGTAGATTTTACCGAATTATAATGTTAGTCGCATGCACATCTAAAATATTGATACTGTTTGTTTCATCAGAACTTTTGGTCACTTCGAATCTTGATACGGAAACAGAGTTACCTACAGTGGAACAGAGCTTTGACCTCCAACACAAAAAAAATCTTACATGTCAGTGAAAAACTTTTACCGGTGAGATAAACAAGTAACTATTGGAACAAAAAGTTAATGAATACTTTTAGTAACTTATGGGAGATAAGATTAAATCAGATCACGTAAATGCTTGGTTTGGATGCATCAATGAATGGATTAAAGAAGAAAACAATGATTTCGATTTCCTTTCCTCAAATAGCTCTTTCTCCGCCGACCCTCCTACTTCGTTATCAGATTTTGTACCATAAAAAACTGCAAAAATTATTATATAAACTCTTTTTTCAAACATGATGGATTGACATTACCATGAAAAGATAGGTCACAGTTACACATTTGACAAATTTGTTCATAAGGGGTAAGATATAACCTTTCAGATTCAAATCACCAAATGGCAACCACAAATAGTTTACACGCGTATTTGGATCCTTATCATATGATGTTGTAGAATGCAATTAAACTCTTAATGTCTTCCAGTGCAAAAGGGCATATGCATAGTGCATGCCAGCTTTACAATGCAGTGCCTGATTAATTTATTCTTTGCACCTCTCTAACATGATCCTCACAACTTAGCGGAATTTATAAATCTTCTTGTCACATATCACATGCCATTGGTCAACACCACTAGATTTTTTTTCCTCACACATGTAGGCACAGAGGGAAATATGGTTGCTTGGAGCCATGCCTCTGCATTACACAAAATCGCATTATTGTTACAATTATTAAAATAACTAAAAAGATACATCAAGAGAGAGAGAATGAAAGAGTTAAAAAGAAGTAAAAGTTGAAAAAATATTAATTAACCTTTTTGGCTTCTGATGCTGGGTGTATTTGTGTGTGGACCATTTTTCTTGTATGGTTCTCGTCAATCGGTGCAGTGGTTTATGTTGTCTCTTCTTCCAAAATACCGTTGTGCATATCCTGCCACTACTTTGGCTCTGAGACACCTTCTTAGTATCAAACGCTCACATGTCCACTACTGTTATTTTTTAACCTTTTTCTTCATAACACAATAGCTATGAGTTTAAAAAAACCTTTTTTTTTTTTAACATCTTCTTTTTAATCATCTTCACACTTTTATGTCCTGATTCAACCGTAATTTTAAATTCTTTCTATGATCTTTGACTACTTCCATGTGATTAACTTATCTACACTTGTTTTTGAAGGCACTCTTTAAGTTAAGTTTACGAAAAGCTTGATATATATTTTGTCAAGTTTAACCTACACCTACTGAAGTTTACTTAAAGATCACTGAATTCCAAGAAGAAGCAAGAGAGTAGTACGAGAAATAATAATTTATCAATAAGCACCACAACCATATTATCTACCACTGTATCACATGCATATAAAAAAAGTTTTGTTAGAAGACAAAATTTATATAAAGATCAATTATAATTCGATAAACTTAGATGTAATGTTTAGGGATTTTAGAACTAAATTTTTATTCAAAGTTCTATTTTTTAATAATTCGTATAATATTTAATGTTGAAATTGATTATTGAGCTGAATAATCATTTTAATTAAATAACATAAAGAGAGAAAAAAAGTAGGAAGGGGGAAAATCAAGTTTACAGATATATAGTTAAAAAATTAAAGAGAAATAATTTTAAAAAAAAGTTTACAAATAAAATTAAAATGTGGGTGATTTGAGATCATTATTTTCTGTTGGACTAGTATTTCAATAAATTAGATTGACTAAAATATTTGAAAGATATAAAAAAGAAAAATAATGTAGTTGTTCAATATGTGATTCAATAAAAGTGATAACTAAAGAAACATTTTCTTTGAAAAAGATTATTTTGGCTTTTATTTTGAGAAATAAATTACTTAATTAAAGAGTAGGTGTCAAAGTTTCACATTGAAGAATAAACTTTAGGAAAAAAAAAAACAGAGAGTTTAGTTGTTAATTGAAGTATTATAATAATTAAGATTATGATAATCTATGTGGGTGTGAGATTTTGCTGGGCCCAACAATGGGGCCTCCTATTCGAGCTATGCTAGCTCCCCTGTTATATTCGGCCCGTATTGGATTTGGTCTAACACTCTTTAAACGGGCCTTGTTATTTCGTATCGGTTGTTTCTTTCTTTTGTGTATTTGTATTTATCTAAAATGAATTCCAAGTGTTTTCTGAATGTATATGCAAATTGTATTTTTTTTAAATATATTCTTTTAAACTGATTTCAATTTTTTTTAATTTATGAAATATATTTTCGGAAAATATAATCCTAAAATAAGTTATAAATATTCTTCATGCATTTTCAAATTATATTTCTTGAAAATATATTTTAGAAAAATTATTCCAAAAAATTTTCAAAATATATTTCAAAAAACACAATTTATAAATCAGCTACAGATTATGTTTTTTTTTTCTAGAACTAAATTTTGGATCTTATTTTCTGAAGATGTATTTTAAATTTCACAATGCAAAATTTATTTTGGAAAATACAATTTATAAATACTTTTCCAATTAACCTGAAATTCATTTTTAGATTGTAATTTTTAAAATAATAAAAATGTAATTTATATTAGCATTATTGGAATGTCCTAATTAATTTCAGTTTTGATATTCTTTTGAATTTTTCTGATTTTATGGGCTGTTCCCGAAGGGACGTAGTTGTAAGTTAATTGTTTCAAAACGGTGAAGAGTTAATTGTTTGTAAGTTTTTTCTCCATTTGAAACCAACTTGAATTGGATAGAAGTAGATAACTTGATGATATGTAAATAAAAATAATTTATGTAATGTTTGGAATTAGTGTGGTGACTTATTCGATTGATTCATAATTCATTAATTAGTGTAAAAAACTGGAATAAAATCACGAGTGTTATTTGAAGGTTTAAAAATAAGTGTATCATAAACTGAATTTGAAGTACCAACTTATTACTATCACTATTTTATTTTCTTTCAAAATGCATTTGGTCTTAAACGCACTGAAAAGCCATTACCTATGAGGTTACTAAAGTTCTAACCAGCAACTACAATGATTTGTTACATATGGCCCATGCAAATGAAACAAGGAATTAACATGGGAGCCGTATATGGTATTGATTCGACAATTATCCAAATAACAATAGTCTGTATTATGCTTTCTAAGAAAAATTAAATGAAACACAACAGAATCAAGGATTGGAAAATGCTGTGATGTATGAAGGTTCCGCCTTAAGCAAAGAAAAAGTGGAGTCAAGTAACAGAATGGAGAATGAGAGAGAATTAGTGAATATTCTGCAAAGAGAGAAAAAACCGAGAGGAGAGAGAAGGTTCATACCAAAAGTATGCTTCTATCCAATATCAAAATCCCTTAAAAGCACACTCTCTCTACGTGGCCTAGTGTTTTTCCTCGTGTCCTTCTTTTGCTGATCCTGGTCCACGTGTCCCATTGATTCCACTACATTCTCTGTGCTCATTCTGCTTGTTACAATACCCTTCCCATTAACAACAACCTTGCCCTCAAGGTTGAATTGAGGATAAGCTTGTTGAAATTCATCCAAATCTTTCCAAGTAGCTTCCTCAGGTTCCGTAGAGTGCCACTGTACCAACACCTGTTGTACTTCAATGGAATTGCGCTTTATAATTCTTTTATCCAACACTGTTATTGGATTCAAGATAGGTCCAAACTCAGTGGTGGTCAAAGGTAGGGGTAAATATTGGTTAGATTGTATTCCCATAAACTTTTTGAGCAATAAGATGTGGAAAACAGGGTGAATCCGAGCTGTATCAGGAAGCTTTAATTTGTAAGCCACTGGACCTATCTTCTCCAGTACTTCAAATGGTCCAAAAAAACGCATGCCTAATTTTTTATTCTTTCTAAGAACCACCGAATGTTGTCTATATGGCTGCAACTTTACTAATGCCAAATCACCAATTTGCAGATGGAATTCTCTCCTTTTCTTATTTGCCTGTACTGTCATATAATTTTGAGTCTTCATCAAGTTGGTCTTGAGTTGTTGCAACACTTTGTCTTTAGTGATTAAAGACTCTCTAATGGCAGGAAGAATTGTGGAATTGACTTCATAAGGAATGACCGAGGGTGGTTTTCTACCAAATACAGCTTTAAAGGGGCTCATTCTTATGCTGTGGTGGTAGGAAGAGTTGTACCAGTATTGTGCCCAAGGAAGCATAGAGTACCACAACTTGGGATTATCAAACACATAACACCTCAAATACATTTCCAATGTCTTGTTAAGTACCTCAGTTTGTCCGTCACTTTGGGGATGATATGCAGAGCTCATCGCCAAAGTTGTGCCTTGAGCTTTAAATAAGTGCTGCCAAAATGAACTGATAAAGATTCTATCTCTGTCTGATACAATAGTTCTCGGAAAACAATGCAGCTTTGCCACATTATTAATAAAATCTTCTGCTACACTTTTACTGGTAAAATGGGCTTTCAAAGCAATGAAATGCCCAAACTTAGAGAGCCTATCAATGACTACCAAAATAGTAGAATAACCATGTGAAGTGGGAAGATTTGTAATGAAATCCATGGCTATGTCTTCCCAAATCTGTTGAGGTATTGGCAATGGTTGTAACAGACCATAGGGTAAAGCTTGGTCCACTTTAGCTTGTTGACAAATACTGCAATGTCGTATATAAGCCTTGATATCATCTTGCATTTTTGGCCAATAAAATTAATTGCAGATTCGGGCTATAGTCTTTGTATTTCCAGCATGACCACCCACTTTCGAGTCATGAAATTCCTGCATAATATGGTTCTTCAAATCCTTATCAGCCGGTATCATCAATCTTCCTCTTCTAAAAATCATTCCATCTTTAACAACAAACTTGTCCATAGGCAATATGCCTTGAGTATGCTGCATCATCAACTTACTTAACTCAGCATCTTGCATAGTCATCTCGAGGAATCGCTTCTAACCATGTAAATTTGGATTCTGACCAGCTACAGTAAAACAACTTCGAGATAAAGCATCAGCTGGTATATTCTCTCTACCAGGCTTATATTGTATAGTGAAGTCATATCCTAAAAACTTAGGTAACCACTGTTGTTGTTCAGGAGTTTGCAACTGCTGTTCTAGCAACTCTTTCAAGCTTTTCTGATTTGTTCTAATGATGAACTTGTTTCCCAGCAAATAATGTCTGAACTTAGCCAAAGCCTCTGTGATGGCATGAAATTCTCTTGTATAAGCAGACTATTTCTGCATTCTGGGGGAAATTTTATTGGAAAAGTAAGCAATTGGATGTTGAGATTGGCTAAGGACAGCACCAATTCCAGATCCAGATGCATCAGTTTCTAACACGAACTGCTTTTTAAAATTTGGAATGGCTAGTACAGGGGCAGAAGTCATAGCATCCTTCAACTTTTCAAATGCTATAGATGCATTTTCTGTCCACTTGAATGAGTCCTTTTTTAGCAAATATGTTAAAGGAGCAGCTATTGCAGCATAACTTTTGATAAATCGCCTGTAGTAACCGGTGAGGCCTAAAAACCTCTCAACTGCTTTTACCGTTGTAGGTCTAGGCCACTTTTTGACAGCCTTCTAGTTTGGAAGTTTCCATGGCTACACCTTTTCCCGACAATGTATGTCCTAAATAGTCAATTTCCTTTACTCCAAATGAACATTTTGAGAGTTTTGCATATAATTGTCATCGCTGTAAGGTCTCGCAAGACTAATTCCAAATGAAACAAATGATCCTTCCACGTGGCACTAAACATCAAAATATCATCAAAAAATACTATTACAAATTTCCTCAAATACTCTTTGAAAATCTCATTCATTAAACTTTGGAAGGAAGTCGGTGCATTAGTTAACCCAAATGGCATTACAAGTCATTCATAGTGTCCATGGTGAGTTCTGAAAGCAGTTTTATGTCTATCTTCAGGCTTCAACAGAATTTGGTGGTAACCAGATCTTACATCTAATTTAGAAAAGAAATTGGCTCCAAATAACTCATCAATAAGTTCATCAACAGTAGGAATAGGAAATGTATCTTTAATGGTAATAGCATTAAGGGCTCTATAGTGAGTACATACCCTCCATGATCCATCCTTCTTCTTTACTAGAATGATTGGAGAAGAAAAAGGACTCTTACTGGGTTGTATTATGCCTTCATCAAGCATTCCTTGCACCAACTTTTCAATTTCTGCTTTTTTACTATGTGGGTACCTATATGGCTTCACTTTTACCGGTTGAGATCCTTTCATCAAAGGAATTGAATGATCCTGAAATCGAGGGGGTGGTAAAGAGGTGGGTGTCTCGAAAACTGAACTGTAATTATGTAACAACAAAGCCAATTCTGGCTCTATATCAGGAGGTACTTCAGTTAGTGGGAACTGATAAGCACTTTCACCAACCATCTGCATACTGAAAACCTCAGCTATAGAATCCGTGTTAACCATTCTTCTGATGTGATGTAAATGGGCCTGAGTAGGTGAGGAATCAATTTCCCCTTGTAGAGTTATAAATTTTCCCTCATGGAAGAACTTCAATTGCAATGAATCATAATCAGCAATGTGAGACCCTATAGTTTTTAACCATTTGGCCCCCAAGATCAAATCAGCTCCTGAAATAGGTAATAAAAATACAGGAAATTCAAATTTAGCCCCTTGAGCTTGAATATTGAGTTTTTTAATCATGCCTTCAACAGTCATATAATTTCCATTTCCCGCCATAACTTTGAATAGAGGAATTGGTTCTATCGCTAACTTAAGAAACTTAGCAATCCTTGGTTGCAAAAAATTATCGGAGTTGCCCCCATCTACTAATATCGTGACTGGTAGAGTATTAATATGTGCAGTAAAACCAATGGTGCCAACTCCTAAGCCTCCTGTTAAAGCATTAAATGACAAGTGAGAATTAGCTTCTAATCCTTCTTCAGCAGTTGCAGGATCGGTAACATTCCCATTTTCAGTAGTAGTCACTATTTCAGATTCCTCTTCATCAGCTTGTAACATCAATAATTGTCTATTAGGACATCGATGATTAAATGTGAATTTCTCCTCGCAGAAATAACATAACCCTTTTTCTCTCCTCAGTTGCATCTCAGCCGGTGTAATTTTCTTGACATTTGAATTTCTGATTGGTGGAATTGAAGGTGTGGGTAGAAGCGGAGCTAATGATTGTTTAGGTGTAGTTTTTGCTGGATTAAAATTGGTACTGGTATATGAAACTGGGGAACATCTCTGACTGTAATTTGTAGAACATTGCAGAATAATAGTAGTGTACTTTTCTTCATATAATCTAGCTAATGTCACTGCTCTCAGTATGTCAGTAGGACATTGAGCCACAACATCCCTTCTGATATCCTTATTTAAGCCACTTAAAAAACAATTCAACACAGCGACATCACTAAGACCTTCAGATTGGTTTGCTAGTGCCATAAATTTCAAATAATATTCGGAAACAGTACCAGACTGATGGAGCTTAAATAGTTCTTCCATTGGAGAGTCGAAGGGAGATGGTCCAAAATGACTTTCCAAGGCTCTTGTCAAATCTGACCACGTCTGAACGACTGACATGCGTTGCAACATTTGAAACCACGAAATTACATCTTTCTCAAAATGCATTGAAGCTATCTCTACTCTTTCGTGGTCATGAGTACGATGATGATTGAAAAATTTCTCCGCCTTAAAGATCCATTCTAACACGGAGGTTGTGCCATCAAAGTGAGGAAAACCCAAGGAAATATTGCGTACCGGTCGCGCTGAGTCTCTCTGTGTCACGACCAACGAGAAGCCATTTGAGTTCACACCATCACTGCACTGAGCCTGACTTTGATTCAATAAATCCAATGAGTTCTGCATTTGGTCCATTCGATCATTGTTTGTTGTTTGGAATTGGATGATCAATTCACGATTAGCTTTATCACGATCTGGTTGTTTCTCAATCCAACTCAATATTGAAGCGAGTTGCGCTTGCAATTCTTTCATCCTAGTGTTCTCAGCCATTGACGTCAATGAAAGCACCAATGAAACAAGGAATTAACAGGGGAGCCGTATATGGTATTGATTCGACAATGATCCAAATAACAATAGTATGTATTATGCTTTCTAGGAAAAATTAAATGAAACACAACAGAATCAAGGATTGAAAATTGTTGTGATGTATGAAGGTTCCGCCTGAAGCAAAGAAAAAGTGGAGTCAGGTAACAGAATGGAGAATGAGAGATAATTAGTGAATATTCTACAGAGAGAGAAAAAATCGAGAGGAGAGAGAAGGTTCATACCAAAAGTCTGCTTCTATCCAATATCAAAATCCCTTAAAAGCACATTCTCTCTACGTGACCTAGTGTTTTTCCTCGTGTCCTTCTTTTGCTGATCTGGTCCACGTGTCCCATTGATTTCACTACATTCTCCGTGCCCATTCTGCTTGTTACAGCAAATCACAAATTAAAGGTCGTCGTGAACTCATTAGTACACGATGAGGAGCCTCACGTTCCTTAGGATGATTTTACTTTTGGTGTTTGTTGGGTGGCTCATGGTTTGGATCTTGTTGCGCACAAAGGTTTACAAGAACCATTTGAGGTTCATGTAACGTGGCTAAGAATATGTCAATTATCTCCTAGTGTTGAATTTGAAGAATAAGTTTCTCCGTCTGTTTGTTGAATAATGTAAATGTGATTCTTTATGTAAAAATGATTAAATTAATAACACTAGTAATCTTTGTATTGAAACTACATCGAAGGACTATTAACATGTGTCTGATTCCCCACACTATTTAGATAATATCTAATTAATGTGTGTTTGATTGATAGGGAAGTATCAAAATTGATTTTGCCTTAAAAAACCTAATTTTAGTAAGAATTAATAAAAATGTTTCGTTATTTGTTCAATAAAAATTATTTTATCTTTAGACTAAGTTTCATAACAAAATTGCTTTTATCCAAACATATTCACACACTTGGTACATTTGCGTGAGATTACTTGACATACTTTTACACAAAACAAAAATGTTTCTCTTTTATTAATCGCCAGTTTGGACAGCAAAAATAACTTAGTTATCGGTGTAGATGAGCGTTTTCAAAATTTATTTTTGATAAAAAAGAAATATTTTTTTGTAAATAGTATCTAACATTATTTAATGCAAAATCAACTTTGCATCTAAATATGTAAATATTTTCTAAACATTTATTTAATCAATCACACGTTTGGTGTGTAAAGTTGAATAATAGAATTAGATAAGCACCTCAAAAGAGTGATTTAATATACTACAAAAACAAAACAAAAAATACATAATAATTATAACTTGTTGAACTTGTCTCATCTAAAACAAATATTATACATGATAATAAATTTGATGCAATACATGATTAAATAATCACGTCAGAATAGAAAAAAGTTAGAGTAAATTATATTTATACTCTTAGTTTGTTTTTTTTTTTTTGCATGATATCACACAGTAGTTTTTTAAAAAATGTACACAAATCTCCTCTTTTGTTTGAAAAATTACCTTGTCATTTTTATATTTCACATACGTCTTCTTAAGCTTTAAAAAACATTATATATATAATAAGAATTATAAATATAATACTATTAATAATTCAATTTTTCCCCGATATTTCTATTAATAATTCAATTTTCGTTAGCTTAAGCTTATACTAATAAAGACATTATTGCCAAACAACTAACTATTAATATATGTAATACTATTTCTTAGAATCTTTTCCTTCTAATTCGTGCTTCTGGTTTGGCTGATAATCTTCACTTTGAATTAGTGAGCTTTACGTGGTGACTATACTATTATGTTATGGCATCAATATAATGTGTGTATGTTCTATGTACATTTGTCAATTGCTGTAGGGACACTTTCCTGTAAGTAAATAATGGAGTCTTATTAACTGTTGTGAAAGCATGCAAAAAAATTTTATTTTATTTGGAAAGTACTCCTTCGGAACCCAAACACTGTCATACAACTTATTATATTAATATTATTAATATTGAGGAAGTCCCACATATATTAAAACCTTAATAAATATAATAATAATATTTATTATTATTATTTTTTTATGTGTAATGTTTTGAGTGAAGTCATGGAACAAATAAATTGGCACAAAGTATATATTGATGGTACAGTTTTCTGTTCTAATTATTTACATAGATACATTTTATTTGAAAGTAAAATAGAATTTTTGTACAAGAAAAGTAATGTATTATTACATGATGAATATAAATCTAATTTAACTCAATATGATTATCTTTCTCATATTAAATAATAATAATAATATCAAAATAGATTTTAATAAAAATATTTTAGGAATGAATTGTAATTTTTATAATAATTAATATAATTGTATAAATCATATTGTTCACGAAGTGATATAGTATATATTGAATTTTTGTATGTTTCTAAAACATTAATTATATATATTATTTATTATTATTATTTTCATAAGATGCTAGAAAAAAAGTTCAAAAATATTATATAGATAAATATAATATTAATCATTATAAATATTTCTTGAATATATATTTGAAAGATCAGAATCCACTTAATAAATACGAAATTACAAAGTTTAGATGAATTAATATATATATATATATATATATATATATATATATATATATATATTCAAGTATAAAATCATATATTTAAGCAGATATTTTTACTACATCTTTACTGAGTCCTAAAATTGATTATATTTGTAACAAACTTATCTTTACTGAGTCCTAAAATTGATTATATTTGTAATAAGCTTGACACATACGATTTGTATGCTCGAGGGTGTTAGATATTATTCACAATATCTTCTGTTACTTCACTACAAGAAATATAACTTTTAGTGACAAAATTTTAGTGACAAATATAAAATTTGTCACTATATATATATATTATTTGTAACAATTTTTTAATTTACCACAAATACTATTATATTAGTGACCAAATTAAAAATTGTCACTATAATTTTGTTAAAAGTAACAATAACAACATATTTGTCACATATATATATATATATATATATATATATATTATTTGTAACAAATTTTTAATTTATCACAATTATACTAGTGACTAAATTTAAAATTATCACTGTAATCTTATTAAAAGTAAAAATAATAATATATTTATCACAAATATTATTAACACATTAATGATTAAATTAAAAATTATTAGTATAATTCATATATATATATATATTAATTATTATTTTAAAATGATAATAAATTAAAAATTATTATTATAATCTCATTAAAAATATATAAAACGTATATCATAAATAATTAATTATAAAATAAATTATTTAAATAAATAAAGTAAAAATGTTTATGTTGTTATTTGAAACTTGACAATTATAAAACTTAAAACTAATTACCAATATCAAATATACATACCATGGTTTTGAGTTTAATTTAGTTTTATATATTTAATAAATCATATTATTTGTAATTCTTAGATTCAAAATTTATTTCAATAAATAAAAAAATATTTTACCTTATTTTTATATTTAATTAAATTAACAATTTTAATATTAAAATTGAAAAAGTTATTTAAATAATATAAAAAAAAACAACATTTTGGATTCAACTTTTAACCGTATTTTTAGGGACAAAATTAATTATTAATAATTTTATTCATTATTATTATTAAGTTAACTTATTTTTATTTCTAATGAATAAATAAGATGAAATATAATAATATTTTAAATTAATTGGAATTATTTGAATTTTGTATTTAATAAAAACATATTATTTAATTTGATCCAAATTATTTTTTATTTTTATTGAATTATGTTATTTTTAAATAATTCGTTAAGAGGTGCTACTAAAGGTTTTTTTTTCAAAGAATAATTAAGTAAAAAAAATTAATGATGACTTTTTATATAATAATTTTTTATATTAGGTAAACTTAATTAGAATAGGAATATTTTTTTTCTAATAATCTATAAAGTAGATATATTCAATTGAAATATATTTTTTATTGACATATCTTATATCTCTATATTATTTTTTCATAATTTTTTTAATTCATTTTTTAAAGTATTGTCAATACTCATTCTTACTAATTAAATTAATTTAATTTTATATTTAACTTTTTATATTAAATATTTTTATATTATTTTTTAAATAAATAACAATAATTATTCACTTTTAAGATGATGTAAGTTATAACAATAACTTGTTATTTTCTACGAAAATTTCATACAACCTAATATTTTTTATCTTTCATGTTTTTTATATGATTTTTGTAAATAAAAAATTACATTATTATTATATTGATTACATTAACAATGAAACAACTTAAAAAAAACTAATAAATATAAATTTAATATAGTTAAAATTTATTTTTTTTATCATACAAAATTATTTTAAATATATTTTTAAAATAAAATCTATATTTATCTTTTGATATACATTCTATATTATTAGGTTATTCAAAGAGAGAGAAAGTTTATATTCAATAAAAATAAAAAAATGTTAAAAAATAAAATATATCTATATTATTATTCACTTCAATAAATAATATTTAAATACAAAATATTTTTTATTATATATTTTTGTAACTAATATATTGAATATATATTTTTTCAACGTTTGTTTGTTTAACATATAAAAAAACGTGATAATTATATATATATATATATATATATATATATATATATATATTAAATAAAATATAAAGAAATAATAAAAATTATATTAAATTATAATATTTTATATATAAGTTTATTAATAATTTATTGTTTTTTTCGTTTTTATTGTAATTATAAAAAAAATATTCACTTATTTTCTATTACTTTATTACTAAAAAAACTATTTTGATACTAATTTAATATACCCAATGTTTTATATTATAAAAACAAAGTTTAAATTTAATATTACTATTATTATTATTTAATTTTATTGTATTAAAAGGAATTATAAAATAATTATTTATTTTTATATTAAGAAAATATTTTGTTAATAATATTATAAAATATTCATTAATAATAGTATATCATTTATCATTAGAATTTTAATTTATTTATATCAATAATAATTTATTATAAATTTATTATAAATTAACTATTTTGTTTTATAGATAATAAGACCAATCAAATTAAATTCTAAAAGGGTGGCCTTAGAGTTCAATCATCCTAATCTTGAAGGAGCTACAAGTACTTGTATAACATCTTTTCTAAAATTTTGGATTATTTATTAAAGTTGTACTAATTTGTTTTTAATAATTAATTTTAGACAAACAGGTTTTAAGGAGACGTGGACATACCATAAATGCAAATCTTCAAAAGAAGAGGGCAAAACTAACAACAATGAACAAAAAGTTTGATATCCAATTTCCTCCTCCATATTATAAGTTGTGTGGAAAACACGCTAAATATTTTAAAGTTGAAGCAACTGGTATCTATTAATTTAATAAATTTGAATTTTATTTATTATCCTAAATAATTAATGTGTTTTGATCTTGTTTTATTGGTTACTTTTTATGAATGTATAAGGATGCATTATATTTGTTGGAAGAGGATAAAGATAATGCAATGAAACAATTGCAAAAGCAATATAGAAATAGACATTGTCGATTGCATAGAATATATGTTGAAAACAAATGTAGGCCAGAAGATGTGCTTCCAAGTGATTGGAATTGGTTAATAAAGAATAAATGGAATGATTCCAAATTTCAGTTAAAATTTCTTTTATTATATATTTTGAATTTGATTTTATATGTAATTTTATGTCATGATATAAAATGTTTTATGTATTTATACAGGAAAGGAGCTTGAAAAATAAAGATAGTAGAAGAAAACAAGAAATCAAATCAATTAGTGGCACAAAATCAATTGTCCAAAAAGCATTTGAAATGGTAATGTTGTTTTTACATTTATAAGCACAAATTTTATATGATATTTTATTATTTTTTATTTATTTAACCTTGTCTTTGTTTAGAAAGAAAAATTAAAGAACGACGAATGACCAAATGTTGTAGAAGTATGGAAGGCTACACGCATGAGATCCGATGGAACATGGTGTATTCCAAATGGAGAAGAAATCATGGTAATTAAAAATAATTTAACTTACACTATTAGTATATTATGACATATTTATAATGTAAATTATTTTTTCTTAATATTTTATAGGACAATTTGAAGAATGTGGGTGAAGTATACAAAGAGGAAATTTCGAAGCACCTATTCCATTAGTTAAACACTTTCAATTTGTATTAGGAACAAAACCAAATCACTCACAAGGTATAGGCACCTCATCAATGACCAAAAAAGTTATGGAGAAACAATTTGTTCAAAGTCAATTGGAAGATGAACAAAAAAGAGCAAATGATTTAGAGATAGAAGTACAAAGATTGACTAATACTAATATTCAACTTCAACGTGAATTGCAATCTCAACTTGAAGTTCAACAGGTTACTATGAAGCAAAATATTGAAAGAGATGAAGCGTCAAATGTCTATTTTATTAGGTGGTTTATCATTCACAGGAATATCTAATGATTCAACTGCTCCCTCAAATGAAGTAAGTTGTTTGACTATTTTAATTTTTTCACTAAAATATCTCCAAATTTTTAGTTTACATATTTATATATCTAAAATATTGTTAATTATTTTTTATTAATACTAATTATTTTTTATTTCATTTTACAGGATCAAATTCGTTGAAGATAGTTCAAGTTGTTATTATTATTTTTTTATTTTAGAAATAGTTATTTAATTGTAACATCCGGACTAAAAATATATACAGATTGTTTATCATCTTTGAATTTAGAATCTTGTTAAATATTTATTGTGTTTTAATTTTTATCATTTATAATGTAATGGATAATTTATGTTTACATATTTGTTTTTATTTATTCATTATAACTAAGCAAACTTAGAAGACTTGTATATTATTTATATTTAATAATTTAATGATTAAATAATAATTTTAAAAATTAATAATAAAATTAAAAATTAATAATAACAGCAAATATTAATATTAAAATTATTCTTATTATTGTTAGTATAAAAAAATATAAATAATAATAATAATTATTTTAGAAATTATAATAATGATAAATAATTACTATTATTTATTTGGGACATTAAATTAATAATAATTATTTCTATAAATTATAAATAATAATTAATTTATTATTGTATTTTTCAAATATTTGCGATATTGAAATAATTATTTTTTTATAAATTTTTTATAGTGATAACTTTATTTATCACTATTGTGTATTATATTTGTGACAATTTATTATTATTACTATTATATATAATTATTAGTGTTAAATATTTTTGTTACTATAAAGCTTAATTTTAGTGATATTTAAAAATATTGTTACAATTATATTAGTGACATGGGTATAAGTGACAATCAAATTATTGTTACAAGATATTAATAGTGATGAATTTATAACTTTTAGTGATAAATATTTATATCACTATAATTAATTTTTTTGTAGTGCTTTCTGCTTACTCTTTTAGTTGTATCTCTCTATTCCTATGTGTGATTTATACACAAGGGAGATTAATCTCAAACTCTATTTCTTCTATATTCAACAAATATAGCATTTGTAAACGCATTTGAATTATATTTTAGGTTATGTTAGATATTTTTATGAAAAAGTTATATTTTGTATCATAATATTATATATAATTAATAATATTTAAAATTGAGGTATATTTTGATTTTAATTTTGTTTTTAATATAATTTAATTTGATATATTAGATTTGGATTAGTTCATCTTATCTTATTTATAATTTAAATAAATGTGTGTTCCACACAAGCCCCCTTTAAAATACATCTTTTAAAATATTTGTGCATGCATATTTAGTCATTTGTGATGTTATGATGCTCAATCTAAATAATAATAATAATAATAAATTACAAATTTCAATTTAAATTTACAAAATCGTAAAACAAATAAAAAATCAGTATACAGTTATATAAGTTTTCTTTATGAAAGAATTACACCGAAATAAGTTTAAATGGTTAAAATAGTTATTATATTATTGACTAACTTTTACGGTTTATCAGTTGTGTTTTTATTTTTTATTTTATTTTACCACCCAGGTTCCACTCAATCATTTCGTAACTGAGATATATTTTTCTCAATTTCAAATATGTCACAATTGTATAGATAATACAAAAAGGAATCTAAGCAATAATGAAAAAGGAATCTAAGCAATAATGAAAAGAGAGTCCAGAACAGTGGCGTAAATTGAAATTATTTGGTCTATTTGGATTTACATTTTGGGTCAGGTCACAATTTGCAGTTTTTTATTTTTAATTAATAGTTCACACTTGTACTATTGCTACTATTTAATATTCAAAACCAACTTTATACAATTGTTAAGTAGGGTATGGCAAAGCTATTACATCACTTGTTTTTAATTCACATTTTAAAAAATTCTTAGTATTCTTTCTTTTATTTTGACGCTTAAAATAATTTTAATCTTTGTTTTTATAGTTTGTTACTTATAGATTCGTACCTGTGTTGTTACCTGCATGCAGTTTAGTTCAGAAGGAGCCAGAAATTTGGCTTGAGAAAGCAAAACAACAAAATATATAACTAAATAAAAACTTACGTGCATAAAATTAATCAATAAAAGTTATATATATATATATATATATATATATATATATATATATATATATATAATATTCTTATGGTATATTAAGTTTCGCATAATTTAAATATATTTTTCTCATAATTTATTGAGTTATCTTTTCTAATAATATTATCATGATATGACATGGAGACATATTTATTTTATACAGAACATTGATTATCCAGGTAAAAGTTATTCTAAAACTCAAAAGATATATTCCAAAGTAATAATAGTCCAAAAATTAGGTGTGCGATGGAGATACAAATATTTTTATAAATGAAAAATATATAACTATAACAAATATACAAAGAAAAAATATATAATAATTTTAGATAACTATATATACATTTTCAACTGCACAAAAACTTCATAAGATATTTTTTTTATTACTCTAAAATGACTTTATGTTATCCAATGTGCACACACTTGTTTCTCTTTTTATTTCAAGATATCAGCTAGCATAAAAGTATCTATGCATCATTTTTTTTAGTAATTTTTAGGGAAAGATAAAATTATCGTCTACAATTTACAACGTCCATTTCAATATCAATATATTTTAAACTAACAAATAATATAATATATTTAAAAGGGAACACTGGTTTGTTTTAATTAACATTTCATCTCACAGAAATATAAATGAAAACAAAAAAGGTTAATGTTATCATAAGGAAGAATTTAATCTTGTTCCAGTGGAAGAAGATGTATGTGTGATATAATAAACTCTCTTACTACAATTTAACACTATTTTGAAGTTTGGAATAATTTCTTCCAAAAAGTAACATGTTGATGTATGGTGTCTTCAACTTTGAACCCCACATGGGACTCTCTTCTGTCGTATGTTAATATAAAGACAAGCTAGGGTTCAATGGTGTGTGGTTTTAAATATTTGACAGTTGACAATTGCATTGTAAAGAACACAAGAAGGGACTCAAATTCATCATAAAAATCCATTTCCGCATGTGTGGACGTGATGAAGCACCAACTTTGCACTCCTCTACGATATTACCATTTAAATAATTCACATGTGACCAATCGGGATTTTTTTTTTTTTTCAATTCCTCCCTATGCATGTGGGGTTTAAAAATATATATATGCATGTGCATTGAGTAAAGTTTATCGCAGAGAGGAATCATCTAAACCAAGAGAGAGAGGAAGAGGAAGCATGAATTCAGAGTCAGAGATGAGAAGAGGTGTTTCTGGGAAGATGTGTTTGCAAATGGGGATATGGTGGTTCTCCATGTTCATCTTTGTTGGGTATGTAATGGTTTGGATTGTGAAGCCCACCAACATGTTCTATCTACATTGGTTTCCAGACATTGAAGCAAAGGCAGATTCAATATACTTGGGAGAACAAGGTTTGTCTGATAAATCAGAAATGCTACAACCCTAACTTAAGCATGCCTTTCAACTTACTTCCTTCTTCACCTTCTCATCCACACACAAAGAGTAGGATCACTTTTTTCATCAATACAAGATTGAAATAAGAAATAAAAAATATACTAAATTTTTCACCTACTAATTAAATTAAGTCTATCAAAATTTTATTCTTATAATTATTATTAGTCTCAACTAAAAATATATATTAGTATCAACTCATAAGATATGAATGTACTCAAACATTTATTAATTGTTATAATTATTTGTAAGAAAATTGTTTGATTTTTTTTCTCAGAAAAGATTTCAAGTTACTGTACAAATGAACTCTCTTGGTTGTTAG